ACCCCAACACCAATCGCATTACACAAAATTCGGGGTTTCATACCCTCAGAACCAAGTATAAAAGTGGTACTTACCTCAAGCCCTGCAAAACTCTACTCCAACAAGCCCTTGCCTTGCAAATCGGCCTCCAAATGCCCCGAATCTAGCCACAAATAATTCGATACAATCTACACGTGCTAAAGGAATCAATTCCATATAAATATTCTAAGTTCTTAATCAAAAGTCAAAACGTCAACTCAAAAGTCAACCCCGAGCCCACATCTCGGAATCTGATAAAAGTTACAAAATCCGAATACACATTCAACCACGAGTCCAACCATATAAAAATTATTCAAATCTGATACGAAAATCTCGCTCAAATTCCCAAAATTCGGCCTAAGAAGTTTCCTCAAATTTTCCCAATTTTCAACTCAAATCACTAATTAAATGATGAAATCAAAGATATAATCATAGAATTTAACCAAAAATAAGTGAGAATCACTTACCCCAATCACTTCCTTGAAAATCTCTCCAAGAATCGCCTCCAACCGAGCTCCCAAAATCAAATTATGCAAAATGACTTAAACCCTCATCTTTGAAATATTTAAGTTTTGCCCAGATGTTCCTTCTTCGCCATCGCGGGAAAATCTTCGCGATCGGGAAGCACAAACTCCACTGCCCCCAGAACTTCCTCTACGCGATCGCATAGAAACTTACGCGAACGCGAAGCATAGGCTTCCCAGGCCTACGCGATCGTGGATAACCCACACGTTCGCAAAGAACAACGCGCGTGACCAGCTCTTGTCTCTTTTCCTCTTTGCGAACGCAGCTTAACCCACACGTTCACAATGCACTGATTCCCCAACTTAAGCGATCGTATACCAGAACTCGCGATTGCATAGAGCAAAAACCTCAGCTGCCCAAATTAGCCTACACTATCGTGGACCTTCCCACGCGATCGCGTATAAGGAAACCAGACCTGAACACTAGCAATCTTCAGCAGTCTTCCAAGTCCAAAATTTGATCCGTTATCCATCTGAAACCTACCCGAGGCCCCCAGGACCTCAACAAAATATACCAATAAGTCCTAAATCACGATACAAACTTAGTCAAGGCCTCAAATCACATCAAACAACATCAAAAATACGAATCGCACCTCAATTCAAGCCTAACAAAAACTAAGAAATTCCAACTTCTACAATCGATGTCGAAACCTATCAAATCAAGTCCAATTGACCTCAAATTTTGTACACAAGTCATAAATGACACAACGAACCTACTCCCACTCCCGGAACCCCAATCTGAGCCCGGTAACCGCAAAGTCAACTCTTGGTTAAACTTTTAAATTTCCAAAGCTTCTAATTTTCTATCTTTTGCCATTTCAAGCATAATTCAACTACGGACCTCCAAATCATTATCCGGACACACTCCTAAGTTCTAAATCACCCAACGCAGCTATCAGAACCATCAAAACTCCATTCTAGAATCGTTTACACATAAATCCACATCCGGTCAATCTTTACAGTTTAAGCTTCTAACCTAGAGACTAAGTGTCTCAACTCCTTCCGAAACATCTCCGGATCCGAATCAGCTACCCTGATAAATCACATAGCAACAATTAAGCATGAAATAAGCAGTAAATGAGGGAACGTGCTGCAACAGTTAAAACGACCGACCAGGTCATTACATGCATACATTCCAACATGTTTATCTCTCATATCCATATGCATCATATATGTATATATTCTTATTATCTCCTATATATATATATATATATATATATATATATATCCATGCATATGGTTTTCTTATATGAACTGAGGATATGGCACGTGAGTGATCCGTGCGGTTGAGACGATTATGGCACATGAGTTATCCATACGAATTGAAAGTATTATTGTATATTGAGTTGTTCGTGCAAATATACTGTGGCACGTTGAGTTCTTCGTATGAATTATATTACGATATGTGAGTAATCCGTGCAGATTATATTGCGCACGTTGAATTGGCCACACAATTATATGTGGATAAAGATCTATCCCTCTAATGTTTCCCTCACATGTTTCTCTCTTGGCAGCGTACGCGTAGGTTTGTGAGAAACCCATGTGTTTATGATTTAATTGTAATAACGATTGATGAGTTTGAGCATAAAGGTAAAAGTTTATTTATTTAAGTAATCCTTTATGTCTATACATGCATTCTTATATACTTTATTTTTGCATATTATCTATATATGCTTTTGATGCATCTTAGACATGCATTGAATTTGTTAGCAAGCTGTAGGCACTTTGGAATGTGTTGTTTTGATGTAGAGGTTGAGTCTTTATTATGTATAGACTGACTCGACTGACTCATGCATTCGGATAAATGTCACTTAGTGCATATCTCCTTTATATACAATTTTAGTGTATTGGTATATGCTTTTGACCATGTTATCTGAGAAACCATGCTTATTATTTTTTTCTTGACTGTGAACCTTATTATTTATATTCGTCTTTTCTGAGTTGTTTTCTATTTTTTATATCTTCTGAATTGTACAGACTATGAAATATGATTTTTTTTGTCAAAACTCCGCCACTATTTCATTGGGGTTAGACTTGATACTTACTAAGTATACGTTCATTATCAATCTCATACTACATTTCTGTAATTTTTTGGAAAGACTTTGATCCTAGTACTAGAAGGATCTAGAGACAACGTTGAGCTGACACTTGAATACTTCGTGGTAAGCTGCCTTGTTCGAATTTACAACTTTACAATCACATTCTCTCTTATCCAGTTATTACTATTATATTCTTTCAAACAATAATTGTATTATGTCATACAATTGCATTGTTATTCTGTTGTAGTTGCTCATGACATTGTACTACCAATTTTAGGTTGCTTGTTGTATTTTCACACATTTATTGATACATTTATGATATTGCACGAGACTTATTATTCCTTATCTTGTTCTTGGATTGGTATGATGGTTCGCCTAGCGAGCTGGGTTAAGTGACATCACGTCTCTAAAGGAATTGGTGCTTTTGAGGCTGGTGGGTGTCTAGTGGAGGCTGGTGATAAAGGTGATTGGTGGTTGTGTAATTGGTGCTAGAGTTAATAGGTTCTCGGTGGTGGTAGTTGTGAAGTGTGGGTAGTGTGGTGGTTCAGTGGTGATATTAGATAGAGTAGAGTTAAACGATCATTTTCAGAGGAAATTTTGAAAGATTTTGTACAAGATCTCAATCACGCAGACCGAACAAGTAAAGGATTGTAAAAGAGATTAAACAAATGCAGTTAATGAATTGAAATAAGTAAGGGTTGTAAAAGAGAAAAAAACAAATACACTTAATGAATTGAAAATGAAGACTTCCATTAAGCGTAAACAAACGAGCTAACATCCTCTCATAGAAATAACATCATAGAATACAAAACAAAGTTTCGTATTAAAGGTACTTTTAATATTCTATACACATCTAGTTTAACTGTCAAATATTTTTCCTTTATTAAATTTCATGATCAATTAACATTGTTAAACAAATTGGGAGGTGATAGAGGAAAGAAACCTACCTTCTTTCAGCTGAAGATATCTGATCATTGTTGTCAGTTCAAGTGTAATTACAAACAGTTAATCTTGAGAACATAACTATCATAATGATGTTTTAACTTCAATACCACACAAGAGGGGATGATTTGTGTGATGTCCAATTTTTCGTTTAAACTGATTATGGAATGACCTGGTTCTTCTAAGCGTTCCTTAACCTACTATTGCTGAAATAGTAAATGCGGAAAGTAAAGAACACAAGTATTTTACGTGGAAAACACATGGGTCAAAAGGTGCAAAAACCACGACCTACTTCTCAGTAGGATTTTCCTAAACTCTCCACTAAATCACTGAGCCAAAAACTGTATTTACAAAATACTTTTGTAAAGCTAGGATTAACTCTAACCCCGTTGTGGCAACCAGCCTCTAACTGCTGCGACAACTTCAAGTTAACTCTAACTTGAATACTCTGAGTACCTATTACAATTGCCTCTAGATAAAACTGAAAGGTACAATATGAAAACACCTACTACAATTGAACTAGAATAAAAGACAGACACTTGGAACTGGTTCTTCTATCTGGTTCATGTAGCTTTAGGTTTGCACACTTGAATCACACGCGAATTGCTTCCAAAATGCCTTGCTATTTTGCTCTCAATTCACGTTTAACTTCTGCTTTTGTGCGTACCTGTAGAATGAGAATATCCTGCAATATATAGAGTTAGTAGATGAAGAAATAACTAGAGTTCTAATGCTACTCTTCCTTGGTGGAAGAGTTCTAGTTGATCTCAACTTCTAACTCCTCCCTTATCTTGGATAGTGTTCTCTTTGAGTAAGGAGTCCTTCTCCTTATCAATTATGCAACCTTTTCGATCAGGAGATATCAATTATACCAAGTTAAGCTTATCTCCTTCAAGTGTATCCCACATGCTCGAATCTGCCCGTGTCTATGTACACAAGGGATGGACCTGGTTCATGCATGAGCTTCCTTTGTCAATTTTCAAAACTAACCTTCACTTGGGCCAAATATTACCAAGTTACCAGAAGAACAACAATAACAACAACCCAGTAGAATCCCACTAATGGGGTCTGGAGAGGGTAGTGTGTACGTATACCTTACCCCTACCCCAAAGGAGTAGAGAGGCTGTTTCCGAAAGACCTAAGTTACCAGAAGAAAATACAAATTATTTCCAAAACAATAGCTATATGGTTAGTTCTTGACCAGGATCTAGTTCTCTCTATAACAGATTTGGATATCTGGAGAGAGAATCAGACACAACTTGTTCATATTATAAGGACTGAGGTTTTGGTCAACACTAAGTACTACTAACAATTTGAACCCTTCATCTGTATCGAAAAAGATAAGCAACATCACGAGGTCTTTTAATCTTCTTTATATCTTCTTCCTGTATTCTAAGCATTATACTGGATCAATTTGATTCAGATAACTATAGAAAACTGTCAAAACTGATACTACTGTAAGTTCACACTATGATATTGATGAAGTGAATTTCACTTTCTTAGTCTGTAAGTTGTATCCGATATGCACAAAATTTGCTGTTCCATTTGCTCTAAAATTTGCTGATATCAGAGAATTTCAATTGATTTGGGAAAAGCCTTTTCTCATCATTCTCATCGTTGTCGAGGCTGTCTTCTACATCATAATCTCTATCAATCACCACTAGTTCTTTTCCATGCAGTTCATCGGATTTAGAAAAATGATGTTTGGCATTTTCTTCTTCAAAAAGATGATCGGCAGTTTCATCAATCCGTTGCAGCTCAGTGTCTATTAATGCATCCATTTTAGCACGGTCCCTGTCACGTGGATATGTACAATAAAGGAAGGAATAGATGAAGCAACAAATTGCCATTGGAATGCCTATAGCAGTGTAGAGTGCCTTAGCAAGCGGGGCTGCATTCTCTCTATCCGTTTCAATTTCCTGTGAGCCGGTTGAATCCTTGGGGATTGGTTTAAAGCCATAAACATGTTGAGCCAAAATACCAACCACTGGAGGAGCAAATGATGCTAATATAGACTCAAACGATCGATCCAGGGCATAGATGCTTGTTCGAGCTCTCTCAGGAACTATCTCCGCAAAAATTGGACTGCAAGCATGTCATGCGCGAATTTGTTAGTAAATCATACTGAATTATTCTGAAATTTTTTTCTATCTTGAACAGATACTTTTATCGATGTTGCATGCAACTATATTACTGGAGTAAAATCAAGAAAGGCCAGCTTTAAACAATGAAGCAGAAAGTACTAGCCGAACTTTTTTTTTGGGGGGGCGGGGTTCACTTACCTCTATATCTACAGCTTCTGTAAATTTACCTAAATGATCTCTGTTAGCCATTAGATATGCATAGAATTGAGTCCATTGTGTGCATGTGTGACAGTGTGAAATAGAAGGAAGTAGGGGACTAGTCTATACAGAGAAGAAGCATAGGCAAACGAAGCCATGTAAAAAAGAACATACAGCAAACAATCAGAGATGGTACAATTGGTGCATCAAGTGTTCTGAGATCAACTGGAAGGTATGAGTTAAAATTACGATATAGTGACAAAATTAGAGATGATTTGTCATAAACAAGTAAAATTAGCTAACAAACAGAAACTACAAGAAAATCGTGTATCACTTGTGTGTTAGCTATGTGGACATGAAAACTTTGAAGTTCTTTACAGATGAAGCTTCAGTTGGAACTTAATCATGAGCCAGATAGTGTTTCCTAATTTGTAAGTACATTTTCTTCTACTTTACAGTTTTAGCTCTTCCTCTTGTTTGGTTAAATAGAATTAGTACTTCACTGGTTTTACTTGGTCTTCGTTTGGCTCAGACTCTATATATACTCCAAGAAGATATTGGCAACAAGAGAAGTATTTTTCTCTTCTTTCAAGACATTCATCTTATGTTAGTCTAGAAGTCCTGTAAAACACGTATCAAGATACCATTAACAGTCAGAAATCTTACTACTGTCAAGTTTGTGTTCAGATATGGAGATCTTTGAAAAAACATGTCAACGGTCCATTGTGCAAGATCTACTATAGAAGCCTATACATGGGTGGAATATGTTAAGTGAGCTGTAAGCAGAAAAAATAGATCTTTATGATGTTAAAAAATAGCAAGTAGAAGAGGGGAGAGGACACATTGCAGGAGATATTAATTCGCTTATTTTGCAAAATGTATCATAAACACACAACTCCACTTCATTTGTTTTATATTAGCATTAGCACTATCGAGTTAATGTTAATTGTTGTGTGGCATTGCTCTAAGCTTTACGACCTTCAAAATATCAACTCCACCCCCTGACAAATATAACTGCATACCAACGCCCACCCGAATGTAAAAGAATGATGTATGCCAGAAAAATTCAGAGAACAATGAATGATATAGTAGTCCAAAGGAAACATACTTGTTTGTCGCTGGACTATTCCACGATATCATGAATCCCATTATGAACAAGACTAAACCATGGATTGCAGCTGAGGAAGGATCATCAGGCAATCCAAGAAGCAGAATTGCAGCTAAAGGGATCGCCGAACCAGAGCTTATCTGAGAAAGAATTATTCTACCAGAATTTGGCAAGTGTTTGGCAAGTATATCCCCCATCTTTCCTCCAAACAATCCACCAATTGAGCCAGCAACATTAAACAAAGTCAAGAGGAATGCTGTTGTCTTGTGGGAGAATCCGATAAGCTCCAACCACATGGGAGCAAATGACAATGATGACCAAGGGAATGAACCTGAGACCCCCTGAGCAATAAGAATTTGAAAGGAAGGCACTTTCACTACTGCTTTTACTTCTTTTAGCAGTTCCCTCACTTCTTCTCTAAATGGTTTCTGGGGAGGTTGTTCTCTTGCATTGCCATCACTGTCAACAAAGCGAGGATCTTTGGCGAAGAGGCGCACCAATATACCAACTATAACGCGTATAAACCCGACCAGATGGAAGGAGATTCTCCAGCCAGCGATCCCCATGAGTGATGTTTCAGCTAGAATCACCGATAAAAGCCCACCAAGTATAGAGCCAAAGTTTCCTGTTAGTTGTAGCCATCCAAAAGCTATGCCACGGTTGCTTTCATCTGTTGAATCAGCAACTAGAGATTGGATTGCTGGTGTGACTATTGCAAGTCCTATTCCATTCAATCCTCTGGAAATGGCAACCTATTGAAAAATATGAGCATTGCTAAACAGTAACCAGAGACCTCATTTCAAGCAAGATATATAGTGCTTCTCTTAACAAATGCCAATCACGGACGTAAAAATTAAAGTGGAGAATATAGTCATCTGAAATGCCTTATAAGCATTGTGAAATTGTAAGAACTATGAATACTGGAAACCCAGGAAATCCCTCAGGTTAAAGATTCATAAGGAAAAACAAGAAGAGAGCAATTGTATTTTCTAATCTAAGAAACAAAAAGATTAATACAAGCAACAACAACAATATACCCGGTGTATTCCCACAAGTGGGGTCTGGGGAGGATATGATGCACCCAGCCTTACCCCTTCCTGAAGCAGGTAGAGAGGCGGTTTCCGGATAATAATCTTTCTAAATTATAACACATTGTTTGCCTCGAAATTTAACTTGACAGCTACTCAACTAATAATACCTTATCTATGAATAACAAAAGGTAACAAGCACAGATTCACAAATGCTTGATTCAACTTCCAAACAACCTTGAGTTTCAACTTTTCTCATTGACTAACTTTGTCCCGGCTCAGGGCTCCTAACAAACAGGAGACACCTCTCAGAAACTAGACAAGAACCAATTCTTGTACATTCCCATTAATATCAACTTCCTACACTCATACCATCAGGCATATTAGGAACATGACAGTGTCCATTTCTTGCACAAAAGAAAAAGTCTATCTCAAGTATGATTACTAAACTTTATGTATTATAACAATAAACTCACTAAACTATTTCTTGATGCATTAAAGTAACTAAATTATACTTACTATAAAATTTAAGTCAATGAACTTTATTCACTATAATAGTAAAGCTACAAAACTAATTTTTGTCAAATTAATTCAGAGAAAATGACAAAAATGATCCCATGTGTTTGAGGATAAGTTCAAAGTAGTCCCTTAAGTATGCACTGAGCAGTTTTGGCCCTTTACGTATGCCAAGAGTTAACGCTTTTGGTCTCCATGCAAAAATATAGCGCAAGGATCTAAATAAAACCTTAAAATTACAATAAGAATGTAGAAGGATGAAGAGAGAATAAACCTCAGTAAAAGTGGAGGAAATGGCAACAAGAAAGGTAGCAGCGGACCAGAGGAAAGCACCAAGAGCAATAACATGGGTGCGGTTTTGACGGCCGGCGAGGTAAGCAGCGAGAGGGTAACAAAGGCATTGAACTATGGATCTGAATAGAGTGAGAGAACCAAGTCCCGTTGGATCAGTATGCAATGCTTTCCCTACTTCTTTGTACACTCCAGGCAATAATGACTCGTCGGCGCTTTCCATTATTCCGGCGAGGTTGACCAGTAATAAAGTCAACGACTCTGATCTTATGTTCTTGAAGTTCTTCATCGGCTCCGGCGAGTTTGGAAAAACGTTGACTAGTTTTTGGTGGGGTCTTTAGTAACAGTCATTCGGAAAATTTAAGAAATGGATATGTGGGACCTAATGGATTTTGACACGTGTCAAATGGAGGGACTTGGACCTCTTTTGTGGGGTTAGGACAAGAAGTTTTTCTCCCAGTGGATTTAGGGTAATTGTCAAAGTATTTTTAAATTTTTTTATGGGATATGTTTCGTGTTTTTATGGAAGTAAAGTGGAATTACGGGAGATTTTAAGTAAAAAAAAATTGTATGCTGATTTTATGGGTTAATTAGTTAATGTGATTTTGAATATTGATTTGAGATCGCTTGTCCAATGGATACAGGAAGATAATAAGTACTCCTCCTCCGGAATAACGTTTGAAAAGATAACGATAAGCTTTTTAGGGTATGTTAAAATAAAAGTAACTACTACTATGATTTATATGAAAAATTCTTTTGATGGAGTACTTTTATTTGTATTAATTGTATCTTTTTCTAAAAAGTGGAATGAGCTTTTATTTAGTTTTGGAAAAATTTGTTAAAGTTCATGAGTTCTGAATTTTAATTCTTTGGAGTTATTGAGTTCAAAATCTATAACTTATACATATTAAATAGATTTGTTAAGACACTATAAAATTTAGTCAAAGCTACTTATATGTTGGGCTTTTAGCGATTCTGTTTGGAAACTAGAGAAGATAAAAGAAAGGAAATTAAGATATTTACCAAATTTTTCCTAACGGTGAGGAGAAAGGGTGGAAAGAAGTATGTATTTCTTTCGGTTCCACTATTTTTTTTTTAACCTCCCAAGTTTGCTAATACGAAAACTCCAAAAAATATGCACAAATTTTAATCGAGGTTGTAAAGTACCATAAATTTTAAATATTAATTTGAACTAATTATGATCCTAATGACGTGATTAGAGTATCCCCAAGTTGTGTACAAACCCATACCAAGGTAGTGAAATCATAGAAACATGATGTTTATATGGTATAAGCGATTTCTAACAAGTCCTTCTGAATTTGGGAAGTAGTTTTAAGTGGTAAAGTGTGTTTACCCTCAAAATCGGATAACAATTAAATTTGTAAGTGATTTTAAGGATATGCGGATTAATTTGATACAAAACGATAAATTGAGTTAGAATGAACAAGTAAAGATACAGTAAATTCAAACCACGCGAGGAGGATGATTCCAGCCTTAGTGAAACATTCACCCTCGATCCGGGCTCACAGTGGACAATATTGACGAACGAAAGGAAAAACTTACAATAACAGTGAAAATAGTAGTAAATTGCTTTGGAATACGTGTTCTCATGTGTCTAATGAATTATCAGACCCCCTTTATATAGTATGGGAATCCTACTCTAAGTACAATTTCATAAAAGGTAATTTTTTTTTTTATTTAACTGATTGCCGGTTCTTCATCGATACGTGTCGAGATCCACGCCGTGATATCCGGCCGGTCGCGGATATTACGGCCTTCTGTTGATCGTGCTTGATTGCCTGACGATGTTCTCCGAAGTCTTTCAGGATTTGGATCGATCTCGAATCATAACCCCGATATTCTCGAGGGCAAGCATCGTGCCCCTGGATTCTGACTCGATGAAACCTTTGCTTCGATTCTGATCCTTCGCAATCATATTTCGAGCTCGTTTTATCCTATTGCAGGCTAGAATGTATCATGAGCTCGGTTTTTACCCGTAAACAGATAGTACCCTCGTTTCTCGGAGAGCAAGCGGACGAGAAACGACATGAGCACCCCGATTCCTTCTTCAATACGTCATGACAAAAATGACAAAAAGCCCGAAACGTCTCGTCAGTCATGACATAATGGCCTTAAATGCACGTCAGTGGTCGATTGGCTGTGCCTGGACGGGAAACGTCGCAGAACCCCTATAAATAACCCCTCCTTTGTTCATTTTTTACTTTACATCAAACCTTCTACCCTTATACCCTGAGGATTTCATTACTCTTTTTCATATTCTAATCTTTTTACCCCCATTATTCGAGATTCATTTGCAAAATTTTTACTCATCATCCACTCGATCCAACACATCTGAGCTTCCAACCTTCAACTTTTCTCTATCTCCTTCAAGCTTTCCCCTATAACAATGGCAAAAACCTTAAAATCTGTTTCCCAAAAGGTCACTTATACCTTCCAAATGACTACCGAAATCAACGAAACCACTCCTGATGTGGTCGACCTCGAGGGGTCCGCTGTTAACATAGTCATCGACAAACCTCCCTTGAAGATGTTCATTCCCCAGGGTTGTTCGGTCGCCGACTACTTCAAGGTTGAGAAGCCTTCTTCAGTATAGGGTCGGCGCGAGGATGCCTTGAGATACATTTGCTCAATCACCGAAGAGGACCTCCCCACGGTCCAAAAAGACTGCAACTGGGCCGACAAGGACATCGTGGTCACCGACTCTAAAAAGGCCATTACCACCCATGTCGAGGGATATCTGAATGTTTACACTTATCCCTTTACATTGGGCCCGTGGACTCGGTCATCTTAGACTTCTGTAGGAGGTATAACATATGCCTCAGCCAAATTCATCATTCACTGTAGAGGATCGTGAACCTCCTCCGATTTTTTGTGAATAAAATCGATTCATGTACCTTCATCATTGATCATCTGCTCTGCTTATACAGCCCCTGAATCTTCCTGTGGGGACTGGTAAAACTTGTACGGCAGGCCAGCAAAGCCCAATTTTCGAGCATCGACGAGAATCGGGATCGAGGTTGGCAGGGTCATTTTGTCCGATGAGGACCTCAGACTTGATTCCGGCCGCCGAATTCAGACCATTCCCCGAGAAGTAGAATGCATCCCATAAGTAAAACTTTCCTTCGAATGTTGATTTCGTGTTCATCTCCCTTTTTCTCATTAGTATTCGTGGTGGTGCAGTTGTCGCTCGAGTCCTAAATGTTATCCCTCGACTCAAGGAGTGGGTTGAAGGTATTGTCTCATAGATGCCCTACTTTGAGCGCTCGTGGAGCAAACTCTCGAAGGGCCGTTGGGAGGCCCGTTCCCTTGGTAAGATTTCTTTCCCGAGTAGGTTGTGTTAGGCTTCTTCTTTTAGCATCACACTCTTATTTCTTTTTCTTCCTTTTTGTAGGTTTGCCTAAGACCATCGAGCTTAGGTCATCGGTTGGGGACGATGACTTGCCTGTTGAGTCTCCTGCCCCGGCCAGGCCGAAGAGAAGAAAAGGAGAAGGGACCCGAGTTCTTCGAGCTCAGAAAGGAAGAGACCAAGGAGAAGATGGGCTCGTAAGCCAAAGGAGAACTGCAGCTCCCGAGCACCAGATTTGGACTTGCTCTACCGGCTTAGGGACGAGTCCGAGGAGGAAGAGCTTTTTGTAGCTCGTAAGTTGTCGCCCCCGGAAGAGTAGGGGCTGTTGAACAAGAGACCCATGAAGCCAATCTTCCTCAGGCTAGGGAGGTTGATGAAGAGGACGGGGCTGAGACTTTCCGAGATGCTGGTAGTGCCCCGAAGGAGGCACTCAGCATGATAAATATTACCTGGTCACCCTCGTTTACTGAGTCCATGTACAATGAGGCCCGAACGATGAAAGAACGACCCAATGAAGGGACTTACGGAGCGGACGATCCCCTCTGCTGCCTTTTTGATGGCGTGGACTCCACCACCCCGGAAGACGTCACCGGGTTGGGTGACTTAGAGGTACCAAGGAAAAGTTCATCCTCGGAGGCAGGTGGGCTTAGCTCGAGCCCGAGACTGGTCAACCGGTTCCCCACCCCGAGTACGGATGCTGGTCGGAAGCGATCAATTATTATCACCCTTCCAGAGGATTCCCAGGTTCTCTCTGCCCCTGTCGGGATAGCTAGTTACCTCCGGTGCCTGGTAACCGAAGAAGACCAGGCAAAAATGAACGAGGTGGATGTGCCATGCTTGTTCAACAAAGCGCAACAGGCGCTGAATCGGGTAAGGTGTTGTTATCCCCTTTTATCTTCAGACTCAATTTCTGAGGGTTCTAATGCTTTTTCCTTTCCTCATTTTGCAGGTCTCGGTGCTTCACCACAAGACCTTCCTCCGGTATCGGGATGAGTTGAGCCAACTCGAGGCCGAAGTCAAAGATATTGCTGAGAAGAGAGATATGTACAAGCTTCTTAGTGAGCAACGTGAAGGAGAAGCCTAGAGCCTCCGAGATCAGTTGGATGCAGCTCAGAAAGAACACGTCGACCTGGTGGAACAAGTAAAAATCTTTGAAGTTAGTGATGATGAGCTAGACACGGTGATTAACGGTCAGAGCCCGTAGGTCCAACAGAAGCTTGATCGGATCGACCAACTCCGAGCCATAATGGACGTAATCAAGGTCGAGGCCGAGGAGTGGAAAGGCAAGATGGATCGTTTGGCTTCGGAAAAAGAGACTTCCCGAGAGCAACTGGCCTCGGCGGAGGCTCAACTTCGAGCGGTGAGAGAGAAAGCTGAGGCCCGGTCCCAAAAAATCGAGGACCTCCGGTCTCAACTGGGTTCGGATGTTACCGATGGGATACCCTTGCCAAGGAGCTTAAAACAGCCAAGTAAGTGGCTGAAATAACTAGGGCCGATGCCGAGGAGATGGTGGCTGAGTACAAAGCTGATGCTAAGGCAGCCCAGGACCGCCTGAAAGGCATCGTTGAATATGTGAAGTGGCAGTCCCGAAGGGAGGCCCTCGAAGAAGTTCATGTCCGGGGTTTCGATTTATCGACCGAGGTCAAAAATGCTAAGAGGCTCGAGGCCGAGGCCAAGAAGTTGGCATATCCCGAGGACGAAGAAGACTCCAAGTAGGGGTGGGCATATATCGGTCAGAACCGAAGAAACCGACCGAACCGAAAATATTTTTATTTCGATTTTGGTTATTCGATTTTTTCGGTCAGTTTCAGTTTAAAATTTCAGTTATTCGGTTCGGTCGTCGGTTATTGATTTATTTGGTTTGGTTATTTAGTTTGGTTAACCAAAAAGCCAAATTATTAGCAAATGAATTTTTTAACCTA